AATCCAATGGAATCAAATCGTATTGCGACGTCTATGCAGTAGTGAATACCGATACATTCTATTGAACCTCCTTTTTATGCCAAGTACCTTGAATCGGGTTACTGGATAGCAGTTGTTGACTTTGTACAGTATACGATGTTTTCTACGACCTTTGATCCCAACGATCACTAAGGCCTGCGAAAAGGCTGGTTTGAGAGTCATTACAATAGGTTATTTTACAAAGTTTGCTACGTTTTGATCATTGGAGAGGAAAGCATTTGATTAACTCTTTAATCTACAAACCTTACCTATGCTGGCCCCATTCAAGGTCGCCAAACGAGTTGTACCGCTTCCGTGACTTAGGTCCGTAGTGAATGCAATAGAGTGCCTTATTTTCATAGGCACAGACAATGAGGCAACTTCGTACTCATCCCTCCGAATGAGCAGATTCCTAGTGGGCATTTCCACTTAGAGGCTCTGGTCATTTGGCGACCCTGTTGAGTTGACATGAGCCTGAGTATGGATTAAAAATGAACTTTCCACTCAGTTCTCAAAATGATGCAGGCAGTTACCGTGGCTTCGTGTTGCATTGGTTCATGTTCGAACAAGCTAGTGCTCTTGAATCATCAGCTGGAAAAACATTGCGTGTTCCGCTTTCCTGGGTTGGGCAAATGGTGTCCTTCATGACTGATATCGAAGATTCATTTGTTGACTGTTCCTTCAAGTGCTGCTCAAGCGGACTATAGTTAAGCCGCGAAATATGAAATGCATCGGTTCATTTACAAAAAGTACCCGCTTGAAGAGTTGTAATTGGCATTATCAAATATTGACACGGCACATCAACACCTAGTCAGTCATTTTTTCATCAGTGGTTGCTAGCAAACACAAGTTCTGTTTACAAAGGACTTTGCTCTTCGAAGAGCATACGGAAATTTGGCTGACTTGGTAAAGAATGGCAGCAATAAATTGTGCTTTGGCAACGACATTGGAGCACCGGTTGTGCCTTAAATGTTGTGAAAACTCCTAGTGCCTAGCGCAAACACTAGGTTTCTAACCCCATCAAGGTCCTTTTTAAGGGGGATGGGGAGGGGAAGGGGGAAGAAATCGAATTGATTAGTTGGAATTAGGTATCTGTAGTTGGCTCTGATCAACACATTGTCCCAAAAAGAATATTTTTTTGACAGGATCTTGTACTTAGGCGGGTTCCGACAAGCATGATTGGTGCTCCTTTGATGGAAAGGCTGTCTTGCAACCCAACAGTGTATAAATTAAAGATGCCTTTGTTCATTGGCTGGTACTCCAGTGCCTCGAATCATCACGATTGGTGGAGGTACTCAGTATCAGGCTAAGTTGTAAAGTGAGTAGGTTTTAAATTGTAGAAACTATTCATGTGTTATTGCGGCACTAATGCGACATGGAAATTTACAAAGATTGCAGAGTACTCTGGACAGTGGTCACTTGAAAAATGTTATTTAGCTGAGATAGTAAACTTACCGAACTGTTCCCCTAACCTGCACCTAGTTTAGGATGTCGAAGGCTCAGACAGTAGTTCGCCAGTTCTACCACTATTGCTAACTTTTTGGCTTCCAATAGCTGGTGCGGGAAAGAAAATTGTAGCTATAGGATAATCTTTGAAATTGCCATGAAAAATGTTCAAGATTAAACTACCGGCACAACTCTTTGCCATCATTTCCACATCCCAAGGTGAATGCTATTTAGTGAGTTGAATGGTGGACAGATGTTGCTTGAAGCTAGAGATCCACAGTTTGCAGCGCTTCTCAAAGGTAGCTGTGCTTTTTTGAATTAGACAAACGTGATATGCAGCATAGCTCGTCGAAACATCCTCCTCCTCCTCCTCTAAACCTCTGGTTCTGTCAACTCCCTGAACCGAACCAATCATCAAGAGGGCGTGCACGTGGTAAAACGAGGCCTTAAAAAAATAATAATCTTGCACGCACACGCACGATTAAACGATTGCTCTCTCTTCGAAGGTTACAAAGTACCTTGTTTCATGTGGAAGTGAATAGTAACTGTTTCCTCACAAAACCTTTTGGCTGAGTCTTGAAAGTGCTGCATCATTTAGAGTTGGGCAGAAATTTTCACCATCTTGTGTCTCCGGTCATCGCAACATTTAGCACAAACCGATACCTTCACTCTTACTACGGCTTCTCAGCTGCTTAGGATTCTTGGCCATAGTTGTAGCACAGTTTAATTGCGTCAGTTAGATTGACTGAATGATAAAACAGTCTGCCAATACAATATAAGCCTGAAATCGGCTTTGAATGCAGAGACAAACCCGATTCCATATCAATCAGTAAAAGCCTGTAAAACCTGAAAACCCGCATAAATTGGGCTAATTAGCGCTAAAAATATGCGTAAATTGACTCCCTCAAATGATTGCCCTCCAAATGACTGGCTTAGTTATCAAAGTGGTCATATATTGTACGTACTGATGCAATTCACGAGGTATTTTGCTGTTAATTTGGCGTTATCTGCTACAGTTTAAGGAGTCCCTTTTCAACTTCCTTCTGGCAGTCTAGGTAAATAATGGTAGTTTCATTTTTTTCTCGAGGTAAAAATGGGAGGATCAGAATCTACACAACCAATGTGGAAGCCTTAAATATGATCATCCCAAGTGGAAACGAGTTTCTCCCTTTTTTCATAACTTTATTTATTTCGTAAACTAGAAACTTTGTGCAACACTACGGCCCTTTTTCAACCTTACACGTAGACGTGAACTGTTACAAGACAGTGTGAATCGACCAAGTGCTTGTCATAAGAATGTAAAAAAATAGGCGCACCTTTTGAAAAGTCTAATTGATGAATTAGACCTTCATCTATTACATTTAACTTGCATAATCTCAAAGAGGTTCTTGGCTTTTCCTCAAAGGCGCTGGAAGTCTTCTCACGAATGCCACCCGCGGTAGCCAGCATTCGTTTTGCTCTTCTTCACTTTCTCACCTCACAATGGCCCAAGTTCTGCGGTGAACTCACTTCCCAATTGGAATCCCTGCTGACAGTGGCCAGTGGGAGTCTTACCGCCCAGGAAGGTCACTCTGCCCCCGACGACCGTCAGCTGGTCCTTATGCTGGTTGCTGTTTCAGCCGCAGATTCTACGCGCCCACGTCAACTCATCAACGGTCTGGCTGCGCAGCAGACTTGTCGCATCTGGCATCCAAGGGTTTCGGGTCCATGCCTCCTCCAATGTTTGCAAGAGGAGGTGGGACAGGTGGAAGGCGAAGAGATTGAGGGGTCGCAAGATCTCTCCACTTCTGCGATAGTTTTGCGGCCATCGCTGGCGTTTTTACATGTGCAGTCAGAGAGTGATCGCGAGTTCGGTAAACAGGTTTGATGATTAAAGTCATATGCTCTAAATTCTGGCTTCGCATCAATTCACCTTTCTGACCTTTCGATTGAGGTGACAGTAATTTTTTAATTAAAAAATGTCTTACTATTTTTTTTGGGAAATTGCCAAATGGGCCGAGTCCAAGCTCTAGTTTATTGTGATAAATCAGACGAACGTAAACACATCTCCACCTCTACGCATGTCTAAATTGAGGTTTGGTAGTTTGTTTTCATATCCTCGTTTCCGGAATTGACCTCTCTAAAACAACAATCCAAACAAACATAGTATCAAATTGCAAAAGGGCTTTGTGAAATTTTCAGTTTGGTTTACTACAGTTACCTGTTGAAACCTGTAGGGACTTGTCCAGTGGTTGCGATTTGCCATGCGCATGCATTGCAAAGCAAAGACAGGCATCAGCATTTGGTGCGATACACTTTATTGTGTTCTGTGCCACATTCCTCTTACTCCGGAAGCTCATTTCACCAAATAAGTATTTTACTGCCAGAAACAACTCCTAGAGTCGCATTTAACTTTCAAATTGGTAAATGTCAAGTGAGTGTGGCAACCACCACGGATAATGTAGGCATTGTGAACAATGTGGTAATGTGTTGCTGTTTCAACCCTTCCCACGGATCACTTCTGTGTAGTTAGGTGTCGAGTCTTCAGTGTTTTATTTTTTGCCTCGAGTGCTTCTCTTTTTACTAGCTGGTTTGTTATTAGCTTGGAGTCGTGGTCAGTTGTGAAAAAAGGTTGTCCTCCAGACGTTTGAGTTGCACCG